GAACTGAATTAAATCAAATAGTCCCTGAGAAAGGCTGTTGTTTGGATATAATGATACTCATATAATAATTATATTAATTATATTATTGGCTACTTGTTTCAAAGTTAACATCCAAGCAGCTTAATGTTACATCAATGCTGCAGCATATTTGAACTACTCTACATACTGTTAATCTCAATATATTATTTTTAAATACATACATTTCTCTGTAGAGTGTGACAGCTTTAAAAGTGAGCTGTAACTATATCTGTCAGATAAATAGTGAGTAAAACATGTAATATTTCCCTCTGAATAGTAAAGTATATATTTAAAATCTGAAGCAGTTGACATAATAGCCATTTTATTTTCACAAAACAAATGGAGTTTATGTAGCAGCCACTTTGTTTTTAGCTAGATGTAAAATAATCTAAAAATTCTAAACAATTTCTTCAGAAACTGGATGACAGTGTTGACATATCATGGTTGTGACACAGGAAATATTAACATTAAGATTTAAAATACTAAACACTAAACTTACCAGAGCCTGTCTGCCAGTGATGACTCAGCATAGGTGGAACGTGACAAGGACCCCTTTAGAGTGACTGTTGCCCTCAGTATTGTCTGAATTGATTACATTTTACAATTTATTTACAATGTTGACAAAAAGTAGGGCTACAACTTTGAAACCTTGTGAAATGTGAAAAGTGTCATTGAAAAACAACTTTAAGTGTTTCTTTTGGTGAAGCAAGTTCTTTTTAATCATTAAAAAAACATTTTTATCCATTTTATTGGATATGAATGATTGAACCCTTCTCTGTGGACATGCTGTTTTCGATGTAGTGGGAAGACAGTAAGTGTCATAGATCTTATAAAATAATGTATAAATTAAATTGAATGGGATAATTGTGTTCAATACATTCTATTGTTAATCCCTCATAACATCTACAATAGAAAATATTTTCATATTTAAACCTGATAGCAGTTACAAGGCCTATTAAGATTAAAATTATACAGACAGAGAATTGTATTAAAAAATTAAAAAAACAGGAAATAATCTGCTAAAATTCATCCAAACTAGTTGTTTTAAACAAACTTCTTGCAGGTACTGAGTTCAGTTTTGGGGTTCATTGTACAGTTTTCAATATAAAATATCCATAAAATGTGTAAACTAAGCAGGGGTCAGTTTACTAAATAACAGAAAAGGGGTCCATTAAGGAAAAGGGTTGGGAACCACTGTAGACACTACTATAGGAAGGACTATCCATAATTAATACATTAACATGCATTTTTGTAATTAATACATGATATTATACGAACAGAATTGTTTTCAAATTAAAGTCCAAAAGAAACGGAAATCAAAGTGAGAAAGACAGTTTGGCGATAGGGTACTGAGTACGGAGGCCAACGTTAGCTTCTTTTAACGACAAGTCTATCAGGAAGCTCCGTCAATCACCTTGGTACCACTGTCATCAAACTGTCTCGGAGGCGTTAAGTGTATGTGCTCAGAGGTTGTGTTCACTGGGAAGCTGCTGAGCGCTCAGTTGGATGCTAACGGCAGCTACATTAGCAGAGTTGAGGCAGAGCAGCCAGACGGCATCAGAGGGAAAACCAGACCATATTTTCTCCATTAAATATATATAATATCGAGTTTCACCCAAATCACTGATACAGTTGTGCTTTTGTACAAGTGATAAAGTTTTGTTGTGTTTGTACAATAGTCAGTTAGGCTCAGTCCCCAGAATCACTCCGCTCTGGTAGCTAGCCATGCTGTTGCTAGCTTGCTAACTAATGAGTCTTCGCTCTGTGTCGCTAACAGTTGAAGACTGATTGACGGGTGAATTTCATTATTGGTTGAAATTGGTTAGTTAATGCTTACGTAAGCACACATGACATTTTGTTTTACAGGAAGGCAAAATGAGTGGATTATTATTTATAAATACAAAGAAATAAAGTTGTAATTGTTGTTGGCATACATTGTTAAATAGGGGTACAATATGACTGAGGATGAAACATTTAAGGGGTTAAAAAGCCATTTTTCATTTCACCTGGAGTTTAATCAATACAGAGTACGTTGGGGCCATTTGTGTTGTGAAGTGCTGCTCTGCTAACATTAACATCATATTAAACCATATTCTTTTACACCACAACTAATTAATTTGTCTCAAGGAAAAGCAAACTACACTCTATCAAAAACTCTTTATAAATCAACTTTTAAAGAGGCCAACCAATACCAGTCTTTCTTTGTTTTCACAATCATTCAAATACTTTTTAATTAACTGAAGAAACAGAATTACTAGACAGACAAAACTGAGACATGACGTCAAATTATATGTGAAAAGATAAAGATGATGCTAGGCCTTTACATTTACTTACAATAGATATAAACATCATTTCAAACATTTTCTGTGTCAAGAAACCCCTCTCAGGGTTTTGTTTTCACATCACCTAGGGACACAGTAAGCAACAGTGTGATTGTCACATAGCTTTAAGTCACATATTTTATTTAATAACACCATGTTATCAGTTTTAATGTGTTTATTTACAGCATGAACAACCATCAGATCTCAGAATGATGCAGTGAAACGTGGAGTTCCTATCTTGCTTATACTTTTATGGCCAAATTGATGGCTGCAGAGGAAACCGCTCGCTAGAAAAGAGGTGGTCTTTCTCCACCTTGTTGTCAATCCCTAAAGAGATTAAAATGAATCTACTAGTAATATTTCTCTAAAGATTATAGTCTATCTAGTTTTATTTTAGCAGCGCCAATGGGAATTTACTGTACATAAGAGGCATACTTACGTTAGCAAGCTCGGTCACTAGCCGTGATTTGTGCCGTAATACATACACATTAAATTCACTTTAAATGTGAAAGAAACTGTTCAAACAAACTTTAATATATCATCAAAAGTTGAGCAGAAAATTACGTATGTTTGTATCCTCTCTCCTCCAGTCCGTCTGCCATTTTTCCTTCAGCACAATGCATGATGGTATATTGTGTTTGGTTAGTGACCATGGGTTGTACGCTACTTTCCACAATGCATTGTTGGATACCATTACTTCTCTCTGAGTCCACTGTATAGTGTATAACACAAAATTAAATGCTCACCATTGAATGGCCTATATATTGAGTAATAAGTGATTTCGGACAGGGACATTGTCACAGCGTATTGTGGCAAGCTAACCAGTTAATGTTACAGTTAGAGGAATACTGTAGTAAACTGTTGTCAATTTTCTGGAGACCACAATGGAAAGATCAGCTGTGGGAAGCAAATGTGTGAAATCTGTAATGAAACGGTAATCTGTTACAGAAGTAAAAATGGGGATTATTATAAAAGCTAACTGCAATGCTTGTGAAATGATACTGTGGTTTTAACTGACTACCGTTAGCTTGTTTGCTAATGCGGATGAATTGCAAAATACTGTCAGTTAGCTTAAATCGGACTCTCTGGGCTTGCCATTTGCCAGTTACTTTGCCGGCTGGCGTTAGGGGGCGGCCGGTACTGGACAGCGTTATTAAGTGTGGCTGGATTGCAGTTAGCTGGCTAAC